GCCAACTCTTTCTCCTGGAGGCTGCTTCGCTCCAGCAACTGCTTCCTGTTGGGGCCCTAAGGAGCCCGGGCGGGCAGGCGAGGAGTGCCTGGGAGGGGAGGGGTGAGTAGAGACTGGCGAGGCGCCCTTAGATGTGAGTGACATCGAGTTGGCCACACCCACCCAGTCACATGACCACCTAGCCACACCCACCCAGGTGGTCCTTAGGCAGATCGTATTAGTAGTCCGCGGGATTTAAAATGATGAATTTAGTGGTCCCTGAGGTCTGAAAGGTTGGTGACCCCTGGACCAGACGACCTGTTAATGGATCGAGTAAAACTGAGTATCTTATCTCACCAGGAGATTCCACGTGTCCAGATTCCCAACACAGTGGCGGGTCGAGCTCCGGACGTCTCTTGCGTCCCGCCGGGAACGGTTTGCTACGAGGGATGACCAAAAGAGACCCCATGTCTCTCTTGGCTGGAGGACGCAAATACTTGGACCATTGCGAAGCGCGGGCTTCCAGGCCTGGCAAAAGCCGGATTCCCGGCCGGGACCACCGGCGGTATTACCACGAGCACTGGCGGGCCGAATACCTAATGGACTTCAACGCGGCACGGCATGGCATGATTTGCATGGTGTGCGGCAGTTCGCTGGCCACACTCAAACTGAGCACCATTAAGAGGCACATTCGGCAAAAACACGCCTACTCCCTCACCTGGAGCGCCCAAGAGAAGGAGGTCATCATGAACAGCTGGGATGCGCACCTGGGCCTGGAGATGGAGACGGAGGGGGCCCACGAGTCCGCCAAAGGGTCCATTGCGCCCCCTGGGGATCACGGTAGGCTGGCCCCCTTTCAGAGTGGGATTCTAGATTCAGGTGGGTGGGCGGGTGGGATGTCTGCCTGGGCCTGGACCAGAAGACCCCAAAGTCATTGGGGAGCTTAATGTAGAAAAGGCATGTAGGTTAGTGAAGAAGTCGTGTTGGATATCTATCAAAATATCTTATTGATCTGATTTCTAATTTCTAGCAAATTTCTGATCTTTAATTTTGAATTATCTTTGTCTAATTTCTAATCTTTATCTAATTTCCAATCTTTACCTAATTTCTAATCTTTATCTAATTTCTAGCAAATTTCTGATCTTTAATTTTGAATTATCTAATTTCTAGCAAATTTCTGATCTTTAATTTTGAATTATCTAATTTCTAGCAAAT